GATTGGAAATAACCACTACAAAAATTACACAACATCCCCCTTCACTTTAATTATGGGGAGAAAAAGAAAGTAAATACATTAGTGGGTAATAAAGAATAAATCAGAGTTGCTAGAGCTGGGAAAGTCCTAACGGCTCATGAAATGCCTCCATTCCCCATTGCAGGACAGACACATGGTTCAGGATGTATTGGTTCTGTGTTTGAGATTCTCTTGTTAGGTTCTGGCCTTTTCATATTCAGTGAATCACTGAAAAAGTCCCTACTTGGCTGTTTTGGGGGGTGGGAGCCCAAAGAGTCCTCCTGTGCTGGCATTGCCCACTTACTGGCCAGGGAAAATAGCAGTTCTTCAATGGTGAGAGCACAGACATTACTCCCTTGTAGTATACTTGGTGGAGTACATCACTCCAAAAGGGATAGGGAGAATTCAGGGCCATGTCCACCTCTTACGAGTTAGCTGGGGTTGCTGGCCTGTGCACAGGGGGAGAAGACTGCTTTGTCCAAAGGTAAGCTGGACCACTGGCTAAGAGGACACAATGTAGCCCTGAAACATATGGTCTCCCCAGTGTATATTTGTAACAAAAGTTGACTGGAGAATAAAATTTTTGGAATGATTCCTCTCTCCCCGCCCCCCCCCCAAATTCAATTGTTTGATGAAAAAAATGGTTGACATTTCAATTTTTGAATTTTTTCAGCCAGCTCTATTTACAGGTCTTTGGTTACCTGATACTCATGGAGGAAAGAGGGCTCAGGCCCTGATCCAGCAAATCACTTTGGCAATTAACTTTGAGTATGTGAGTAGTCCTACCTACTTCAGAGTCTCATATGCTTAAAGATAATGACATGCTTAAATCCTTTGTTGGATCAGGGACTGAAGTGTCAAAGCATGGTCTGAAACACTGCACTCACTGGAAATATAGGCTGGAGCCAAGTTAGCTCTTTCTTCCTTTGAGATAAATAAATGTTCTTTCTGATTACAGTGTATGCGACTCTTTTGTAGGCAGATCTTCCGTAGGTACAATATATACTCAGTATTGTCAAGTGCTTTGGGCTCCTTTAATTTAAAAAACACTGTGGGCCAAACTGTGACACCCTTACTTTCACTGGTGAGCAGTTACTCATATGAATTGTCCTCTTGTATTTGAATGCTCAGGGATTCACAGTCTGGTCCTTTTGAATGCAGACTGCTGAACAGAGCTGTGGGAACCGTTTTCACCATTGGAGAAAAATGACATTTTTATGGGATCTCAAAAAAGTGATCCAAATGAAGCGGGAGGGTAGAGCAAGAGACCTGTTTTTTTTTACTACCAAAAGATTTGTTCACTTGTGGAAACACTAAGACTGTCCTGGATCAACATGATATCAGCTTTTACATGTGAATAATCATAAAGTGAAACTCCGTAGTTTGCACAGTGCTGTGACTAGCCAGCAAAGTCTGTTGGATAAAAGTTGGTGGAAGCAAGCCTGACAAAGAACCCTTTAGTAATGCCATTGGGGGCAATCATCTGTGGTAGGTTTATTCAATCTGGTATAGTACTGTATGTGGGCAGAGGGCATTGGCTAACAATGCTACAGCTGCCTTATCAGCCCCCACACTGGTCAAATATGGCAACACTTCAGCATGATAAAGAAAAGAGCTGAAGAAGTATTTGTCTTTCAGTGGGCTGAGAATGGCTATGAAACATAAAAGACTGGCTGATGTAGAAGGGCTCATTGAAATGAACCTAAAGGCATTTGGAAGCACAGCTTTTCAAAGTGAGACCTTGGACAGCGAAGGGTTATTTGAAGATTGTTCTGCACCGACCACAAAACTGGCAAAATTAGGAGAGTCATCAGATCAAAGCCGTACACTTACAATTACTGAGAGAGAATAAAATAGCTGAGAGATTTACACAAAAATCAGTTATCTTAAAAAAAATCACCCTCCCTTCAACTTTTATTTTAGTATTTTATTTTAACTCATAGCAACTGATGACAGCTGGCAATTTCTGTAGCAGGATCTGTTGATCAAAGCAGGGTCTTCCTACGTTAGCGACCTCAAATCAAAGCTTGTCACTACTATAGAATCAAGTCTGTGAGCCAGACTCTGTTCTTGGTTAAATTGACTGCCATGGAGTTATTCTAGATTTGCACTGGTATAACTGAGAGCAGAGTTTTGTCCTATATTTATAGGGATGTAGTTTCCTGTTTCCGCATGTGCAAAACTTTCCACTTATGTATAGTCTTGGGAAAGGAAACAAGCCTTCCCTCTTTGTTTGGAAAGGGTCTAGTCTGTTTTGGGTGCTACTGTAGTTTAAATAATTAATAATTATTAACGACAACAATAATGAAATATAATGAGACATGATGTAGGGAAACTGACACTTCTATTTGTAATGCCAAATCCATCATCCTTAATTCGTAGTGTAAGATCTGATCTTGTAGAGTTTACTTATGCAATACTCACACATTGGCTGCAATGGGATTCTTGTATGAGTTCTGTCGCAGCATCTGGCCTACAGTGCACACATTATTTTATGAGGTTGTGTCCTCTGAGCCCTTGCCCAATAATGCTGCTATATAAAGAAAGCTAGCTCCCATCTTTACTCCATTATTATCACCACCCCTTTTTTACCTCTTGCTCTAAAAATAAGACTAAATAGAATTCCCAGTTTCCAAAGTCAAAGACAGCATGAATTGATATTGCCCACTAAAATGCAATGAGATTAAATCAATAACATCTGCAATAAGGCATAATGAAGACAAAATTATATTTCAGTTTGCCTGAACAGCTGTGAATCTATTTTTAATGATCCTCATTTTTGGCAGTCAGCTAAACAACTTTTAAAATGTCCTAGCAATCGGATTGTTAAGTAGATCAGCAATACAGAGCACTGAAATGCCATTAATTGCAGCTTTATCTGTGGAGTCGGGAGAATTCGGCTTAAAAATCCTGCACACCATCGTCGGACCTGAAAACATACACAGCATCCGGGGCAATTTTTAAAGAGGGGTTTTAAGTAGTGACTTTAAAAATAATGTAATGTGATTTAAACCGTTGTCTTTTTAGCTATGGTTTCTGGTACACATGCTCTGTTTTTGCAGGCTTAGTCTATCATTCAGTGGTGCCTCACTGCTTGATGACAGCTTTGTATACTGATAGCCTATCTCCTGGGCTTGGCCTGTCAGATTCTCAGCATAGCCTCACAGTCTGGAAATTCTAAAAGAGTCGGCTTACGCAAAATATTGACAGAAATCATCACCATTAGAGTCAAAGTAGCACTTTAAGCTTCAATATGCTTCTTTTCTACACCAAGTGTCTTGTAGCAGTAGAGGTGGTGAAAGATAAAGGGTAGGGGACCTGCAGTGTATCTAAATCTAGGTTGTTATTAGTAGTAAATCTCACAGGGTATGATCTTATGAAGTGCTTTACAGGTTCCGCTGCTGACAAAGAATGCAGGGGGTGCTCGGCAGCCCACAGGTTCAGGGCCGTAGTGTTTTAATGAGATATGTAGCTATATGGTTACTGTAGTGCTGTGCTACTAATGATCCTGCAAGATGATTTGCACATCTGTGACCTCCAGGTTTGAGTACTGCAACTCCTTATACCTTGGAATGAAACCATATACCCTGAAAAAGCTCCATTTGGTACAAAATGCAGCTTAGCAACACAGGTTGCCATGAACACATCACCCCAGTCCTCAATCTGCACTGCCTCTCCACTGAATCCAGAGTCCATGTCAAAGTCTCTGCCCTGATGTTCAGAGATCTCTAGGGTTAGCCTAGCTGCCTCTCTCTCTCTCTACAACCATGACCTCCTTTGACTGCAACATGCCATTGGAGCAATGAAACTGCGAACCAATAGGGGAGGCTGCTGTGTGCAGGGGACAGAACTTTCACGGGAGCTGGACCTAGATTATGGAACTCATTCCTATAAGACATATGATGACCACAGAACTAACTGCTTTTAATTCAATAGACCCACACTGATTTACATCAGTTGAGGATCTGACCCTCTATTTTTAGCTAGTTGGTAGGTGCTCAGATACTATGGGGATATGAACCTGATCCCAGACTTTGTCCGTATACAGTCTTGGGGCTATCCTTCAGGCATGCTACTTCTGGGTTAGCTGCTTCTTTGTGGAAACCCCTTTCCTTTTCCCCTGTGTCAGAGAGTCTATCTTGGGCAATTTTAAGCCATCTGTCACACTAGTATGGTATCTAAACACCTTTGTGATTATGTTTGTATCACTTTTGTGTTGATATAAAAGTCTGGTCATTCTAATCTGCTAAACTGACCATTGATAGATTTTAGTTCAGCAAAGTCAAATTGCCAGCCAACAATTTGCCCAGCCCTAATTACAATATTTTCTGTTGATAAAGGAAACTTTATGAGCCTTATCTTCCACTTCCATTTGAATCCTGCCTCAGAACACTTCACTTTCAATATGCTTAGCTTTAAAATAGGGGCTGTATCATTGCAGGGGGAGTACAGTATTCCTAAAAGTCTCATCAGAGGAAAGATATTCTCTGCCTCTTTTCACATTCATCTTTAATGCACCAGTACAAAAATGCATCTTGCAGTCTGTGAAATGACAATACTTCTTGTGGCTTATTACTTTGAGTCTAGGATGCCTGTCTTCTGTACACTTCATCTTTAAATTACTAAGAACTCTGCCTATGTGCAGGAAAACCAGGCATTTTGTTCTCAAATTTGATTTTGTGTTTTGCAGAAGAGACTCACACTGTGCTATCATGGGAACTTTACTTTTGTTCTTTCTTGTTGTTGTTATTTTTTTCATCTAAACTAAAAGACCAAGAATATATGGTTGCTCTTTTTGAATGGAAAAACATCACAGCTACCAATTGGTATGACTTTTTTAAAAAAAATGTTATTTAATAGCTTATTTACTCCCCCAACAATTGGATATCTGCATCTACCCTACTTGGGGATTCCTTCATGAGAACTTGACAGAATTATTCATCAGTTATGCAGGAATGTAGAGAGCCCACCCTGTCCTCCTCTCCCCCACCCCCACTCAACCAGCATACAGCTTGTTGTTTGTTTGGCATTTTACTTTCCCATTGATCATCAGCAGGTTTTTCTGGAAATCTTTCTCTTTCTCCGTCTCCATTTTTATCATCTCAATAATGCTCCATGTGTACACTTGTGTCAACTAGTGCCTCTTTATAAGGAATGAAAACATGGTTTTATATTCCTGAATAAATAAACAACCATGGAACAGGCAGAAAAAGGCGAGAGAGGAAGAAAGAGAGAGAGTGCACATGATCACTTACAGAGCAGCAGTACAAGGTACAGTAAATGAATCAAAGGAACATTCCTTTGGCACAAGGGAATTGTAATGAAGGGAATGAAATTCTCATCATGTCGAAACCAGAAATTAACATGCATCACTTTTTTTTTCTTCCCAGGGCTTCTCACTGCTGGCTTCAGCTATTTTGAAATATTTGGGGCCAAAGAAGGAGCAAATCTCTAGAGAAAAGAAGGCTATTAACATCACCAATAGTTCACAAAATAGCTTTGTTTCTTGAAAGACACAGACACGGCGGGAGGTGGTTAGTGCAGCTATACTAGGGCTGTACTACTTTGAAATAATGGACCCTAGGGGCCTGAGGCTACAAACCATTCTTCATGTGACAAGGAACCACTCACACGTGTAAAGATGACTTGTGTGAGTAAAGGATTGCGGATTGGGCCCTAAGGTTCTTATTGGGAGGCCACTGAAATCAATGGAAAAATGGAATGATTTCTCTGGGTTTTGGATCAGACTCTGACAAAAGGGATTTTGCTAGGTTTGCAGATACTGCATATAATTATAATAGCAAATCAGCCAGGGAGCACTTCTACTTATTATTAGACCGGGCTGAACTAGTTGATGGAAACAATTTATTGAACAAATGTATTCCTTTATTTTGTTCACAAAATGTCTCCCAAAGAGCCCATGGGTCAGATTCTTCGCTGGGCTGCATTTACAGCAGCGCAATTGAGGAGGGGAGAGAAGATGAAGGAAAGGTGGTGGTAAGCCACAAAGCAGGCAGAGCAGGTGGTTCTAAATGCAAAGCAGGGGGAGTCAGAATTTCGAACAATTTTTAGGCATGTAGATGAGGCAATGTAAGGGACTCTTTGTACTGAGTAGTTAGTTAGTTGATATTCAGAATTCACTATTCAAGTTTTGTGACTAATCAACTAAGGCTTTGTCTCCATTAAGGAAGTTTGCACCAGTGTAACTCAACAATGTTAATGTCCTTAATGCACTTTGTTACAAGAGTGCACTATTTCTTTATATGTAGATGGCGTTCAAATATATGTCACATCGTTTATGGGCTTTGTAGGCACTGCAAATGGCTTATTGTGTGCAGCCGTTTACATCAGCTCTTAACATAGATCAGGCTTGAGTTACGTGACATTGTTTCTATTCCCTGATCAAATGACATAACTTCTTATAATTATTTGCCCTTACCCAAACTTAATATCATTTCTTCATTAAAGCACCATCAACCTTGAATTGAATTGTGTGTATGTTTCTTAAAAAGAGTTAAAAGTTGTGTTAGTTAACGTACATGCTATATGTATTTCACACCATCTTAATATGTATTACACAGCACATTAATATATACTTTATATTATATATAAATTAATGGAGATATCCTATCTCCCAGAACTGGAAGAGACCTTGAAAGGTCATCAAGTCCAGCCCCCTGCCTTCACTAGCAGGACTAAGTACTGATTTTTGCCCTAGATCCCTAAGTGGCCCCCTCAAGGGCTGAACTCACAATCCTGGGTTTAGCAGGCCAATGCTCAAACCACTGAGCTATCCCTCCCCCCATGTATATTAGCACAACGTTAGGCTGAATGGAATGAGGTTCACTCTTGCCCAACTTGTGTTAGGAGATATATATCCCACAATAACTTGCAAAGCTAAATGTAGCATTGGGCATTACCGAATATAAACCCTGTCAAAATCAAGTTATGTAGCGTTCTAGCCTGGTACAAGGCAGAAAGTTTCTTTGTGACCCAACTGGTTTCAAATGCTGTATTCAAAAACAAGAAATAAGGGGTACAGCATGATACCAGAAAAACAAGATAAAAAAGCTAATTGGGGAATTTTAGTTTTAGGTGGCATATAAAGTGCGGTTAACTTGTAAACAGGCCTACTTTAAATATAGGTAGTTTGGGGGGCATATTTTGGGAGCGCACCTTCTGTGTAAGATGAACTGATACTCTGCAAGAAACAGCTTCCCAGAAGGATCAATAACAGTAACTCTTTCTTTCCTGTACTATTGACTTTTAACAATAAAATTGGCTATCTTTGTTTATTTGGTCTCTTGAACATCTTTCATAATGAACTACAAGTGTAGTCAATCAATCGGTGGCTATATAATTTAGCAATAGACATTTCAGGCACTACACCTGCTCTTGAGGCTTCCTGCCAATGCTTGTTGTTTTACACTAATTTTCACCTACCATTTTAAAACTTTGTTCTCAGCCTGTCCTTCTGTGAGAGACTCACATAATCAGTGTGGAAAACTGACTTACTATAAAGGGGAAAGAATGAAAATAACTATACAAAAAGTGGTGTCAGATGCATAAAGTTAACCTATGGCTCTATTCAAATAATAGAGATATATTTTCTACATATAGTAATTATTTGTTTGGATTTCTAATTCTACTAGATAAACAAATATTCAGAGAGAAATAGGGTTTTTAAGTTGGTGGCATCCCTTTAAATACATCTCCACTCCAAACTCAAAACTTGCCTTATGTTAATCTAAGCGTAACATTGTGAACAGCAAATAACGAAGTAGCATGTATAGGCCAAATCAAACGTCCTGTGATCACATGGAAGCCCACTGCGGAAGCAGGGTCTTGGTTTCTAATTTGACAGACTGTTGGCAGGGAGATTTTTCACACCATTTTATTCCAACACTGTTCATGACAATAACAAAAACTCCACCTCCCCAAAAGGCTACTTGCTAATTCACAGTGCAATGCCTCAAATTGAATGAAACTACCAGATAATCAAGCATCCCATAGTTTAAAACAAAATTAAAATAACGGAACTGCTGCTTAATACTAAGAAGGAGGTTAAATGCAATACAGCTAAAAGGCTGTGTACTGTAAAATAATTAAAATAAACCCCACCGCCTAGTATATCTGCATTCCTTCATATTTCTACTAGTATCCCCGTGGTTAAGTAAAGTAATGATTGATTTTGAGAGAATTATAGCTATTATAAACTGTAATCAGTGGAGGATGAGAATAATTACACAGAGAAAGGGGAAAAGCTGAAACATGGCTGAGCAATATTCTGATTGATGGCAAAGTCATTTCCTGGCTGCTAATGACTGATTTTTCAACAGTCAGCACAAGCTCTAACCCTGTGTGGGGTGTGGGGGGAAGGAAAGGAAAGGAATGGCCATATTATTAAGAAAATTACTATCCCCAAAGTATCGTTTTAATTAGGAATGGGAAAAAATCAGACCATCCCCCCAAAACTTCTGTCCATGTTGAAAACCAAACTTGAACTGAGTATTTTTGGAAAGATTCTGAAACTTTCAATTAGCATCCCCTAAACCACCCAATTGTCTTTCCTTTTCTTGAAGCTTCTGTACTCCCAGGTTCCAATTAGGACTAGCACTGAAAGTGCCAAAATGCCATTCAAATGCCTATTCTTGCAGTATTTGTGGCAAGAATAGAACATAATTGTACCTGGATGAGAGAACCTGTTCCTATACACTTCCAGATACATTTTGCAGATTTGAAAGATTCGGATAATTTAGATAAACCTCTGAAAAGCAGCCTGTCTATCAACTGATAAATCCATCCATCAGTCATCTCCCATATCACACTCATCACTTGAGTAACTGAATGCCTGAACCAGATCTTGGGTAAAATCATCTCCCCACTGAAGTCAATGGTAAAACTCCCATTGATTTCTGTAGGCCCAGGATTTCACCTCTGTTGAGAAATTCCCTCATTACTAATGTTAATCTGTTTTCCTCATTGTCTTCATGCTCCATCTCTTGTTTTGTTCTTTGTAGAGAAGTGAATCCCCTCTAAAAAGGCTAATTACCCAGGCATATTCATGGTTAATTATATGTATGTGTTTTATGTATGTGTGCTTATGCCAAATGTGTCTTACACAGCTGGGTGTTGTGTAACCAATAAAGTACTAATCTCTCCAATCTTAGAGGCGTCTATGGAAGGAATGTCTGTCCTGGATTCATGTGCATTTTCTAGTCTAAAATATTTTTAATCTCTATTTTGTGCTACATGAGGTCGCAGAGTGGGTACGTCTACAGAACGCTTTGTTTTAGTTTATAACCATGAGCTCTCTAAACTGTGACATTTCCAAAAAAGAGTCTAATTTATCTTATCAGTTACAACCATAAAACAGGATAAGTGATGGAAATAGATTAGGAACCATAAAACTGAGGAAAGCAGGACAGCCAAGATTCAAGCAATGACAGACATCACCCTTCAGGGTCTTCCTGACTTTGAAAAACCTTCTGGATAGTTTACTAAAACTCCATACGGTGTCTCCTCTCCCTGCTCATTTCCTTTCAGTTTTGAATGTCAGAGAACTTACAGGAACATAATTTTAAAGACTCTCCTTTTTTGTGCCCATGCAAAGATGGTCAGATTTCCTGGGAAGAATGATCCATGGTAAACTTAAATGCCTGATTTGAATGTTCAAGTGTGCTCAGTGCTTGTGCCAATTACCTAACCCTAACCTACCTATCACCTCTTATTCAGTATCAAAAGGTCAGCTCCCACCTCTGATGTGCCCATGCCAGCCTCCATTGCCCACTTATTAAATGTTCAAACAAGCACCTTTGTGACTGCTTTCTTCCATGCTGTCCACCAGGCTTGGGTGAAGCCCCACGTAAATATCTGCACAGCTACCTCATTATCCACCTTAAAATCCCTCGTTAAAACTCTGCGGTGCCATGATGTGTACAAAGAGCTTGACAACGGTTAGGCTGTTCACATACTGAAATCACAGCCTATCACACTGACCAATATTGCCTCATTGTTTCCTTGTCATCTCTTGTCATATGCTGAGGCAACCTCTACGCTACACACTAGGGCTGTGATTGCCAGCTCGTGTACACGTACTTGCCCTAGCTCTCATCAAGCTAGTGTGACTATGAATAGTAACGTAGCTGTGGTAGCATGGGTAGCAGCCACAGAGGCACAGCTTAGCCGTGGTGAGTACAAACCCATTTGAAACTGGTGAGTACATCCTCGGAATGGCTAAGCATCTGCTGCCACTGCCTGCGCTACCATAGCTACACTGCTATTTATACTCATGTTAGCTTGAAGCGAGCTAGCACAAGTATGTGTGCACAAGCTGGGAATCATACCCCAATCTTGGAGTGTAGACGTACCTATGACTGCATGCTCTTTGGGGCAGGAACTGTCATTTTGTTCTGTGTCTGTACAGCACTTAACACAATGGGGTCTTGGACCATGATGGGGGCTACCAAGTGCTACAGTAAAACAAACAATAATAAATAATTATTATTAAATTAATAATAATCTTTCAAAATGATGCCCATGGCATAAGGCTAACATTAATGATTGCACTGAAAATCTTGTGAGTTTTTATAATGATGGACAAAATCCCAAAGGTACAGAGGTTAAAGGCTTGATTCTTAACTTAAGTTTTAATTTATGGCTTGTTATGCCAGTTTAGTGCTAGTGTAATGCCATTTGTTTCAATGGAATTACCCCAACTGGTGTAAACAGGTAGAATGGGGTCAAGAATACAACAAACAGCTTTAATTTCCTCCCAACAGCAGGTTAAATGCACCATGTCAGTCAAAAGTGCAAGAAAACAAAGTAGAAAGAAATCAGAAGGTTCTCTGAAAAAACTATTAGAAATGTAAAATGTCTGTAATGCTGACATTATAGCATTGGGCTTCATCATACTTTCAAATGAGGTGGTTCAACAAAGAGAAAGAAAGATGAACTACTTCAAGATACTGTGGGTAGTCAGTCAACCAGTTTTTCAATGGATTTGTTCAGGGATTAAATGAGTAGTTTGCTGCTTATAGCACACTTCAGACTGCACAGCAAAACTCCATGACACTCAACATTCTGCCACGGAGGCCCATGCAGTATTTTCCAGAGTTGGGCCAGCAAATCCTACATGTTTCTGCAAGCCAATCCACTAGCGAGTTGAATCTCCTTCAAGCATGCCTCCTCTCTAGAAATGCTGGCAAAAATCTAGACAAGTGCCACAGTACGTGCAATCCCTCTTCTTTTTTCTGGTGTAAAATTTGCTCATTTGGCTCATATAATCTCAAAGCAAAACCCTGAGTGATGTGTGGGTCACTGACATCTTCCTTAGTATGGTAACACCCATTGTTTCATGTTCTCTGTGTATATATATATCTTCCTACTGTATTTTCCACTACATGCATCTGATGAAGTGGGCTGTAGCCCACGAAAGCTTACGCTCAAATAAATTTGTTAGTCTCTAAGGTGCCACAAATACTC